TCGATGCAAAAATATCTGAAATCGATGAACAAAAATCAGAATATAAAACAGCGAAAACAGAGTATAAAAATACAAAAAGTCACGCATCACAAAAGAATGGAACAAGGGTGTGGATGTGGGAGTAAATATACAGAATTAACACCTACACCCACACTCACACCCACCCTCTTCAATCAGTAGCTCGCATCTCATTCATTTTAGAATGGCTTTTTAAGGGGTTTCCGAAGAATATAGCTGTGAAATGGGGACTTTTGAATATGAGATGGCCCAATAATACGAAGAATTTAAATAGGATTCTCACAATACTCTAAAGATAACATCCGATTCAGAACTTCACTTCACATCAAGCGATTGGAAATCGGCTCGTGCTTGTGAGCAATGTTCCTGATTGTTTATCGGCACAAAAATCATCATCTTGAATTCATAAACAAAAAAGTAAGATAAACTCATAAGAAACAACAACCGTTGTCAACGAGACATAGTATCGCTAGCTACTAGCGACACCTATAGAAAGTGATACATCTTGTGTAGACTTACTCGTACATTTACCATTTGTTGAGCCCATAAATTTGAAAAATTGATCAAAATTTGAGTTTCTGACAGAAAATTCGAGAAAACACGCTTTATAGTCGTTGCAACCAAAACCACTATTTTTTTACATAGATTGGTATCTCATGGACCCATTTTATTGTTTTATCTGCTCAAGGTGACTAAACCTGTGTGCTCAATAAAATAACAAAATTAATCGTCATAATCTTAGTCTTGTTTCAGATAAAACCTCACAACAACAAAAAAATATTTGAAAAGGTGGCTGCTGATATTCCATGTAATGGGGAGAAAGGGTAGGAAGCAAGAAAACAATGAAAATCAAGCATTACTCAATGATAAAAAAATCTCTCATGACACCGATGACCAACATCGACAGCAATCATCACGTCTTGAACAGGCAGAATCATCTTGGTTTCGACTATTGCACGTACTATTTTGGTCATGGGTTATTCCAATTCTTCGTCTAGGCTATAAACGACAGTTGACAGCAAATGACCTTGATAATGCACCTCATGTTGACAAAGCTTCAGTACTGTTAAATAGACTACATTCTTATGACTGGTCATCATCAACAACATGGATGATTATTCGTAAAGAATTTTGGAAAGATTACATGTTTGCTAGTCTGATCTGGTTTCCTTTTTTGATAATCAATATCGGTCAACTTTTACTCTTTTGTCAGTTGATCTGGAATATGATGGATAAACAATTATCAACTACTGTTACATATTTATGTGTGGTATCCCTTTTTGTTTCTGTCGTTATAGAATCAATCACGCAACGACTAGTACTTTTTCGTTCGACTCGTATTGGTATGCGAATTCGTAATGCACTGATTATAAAGATTTATGCGCATTCATTGTATTTGAAATCGACATCCTCGGAACAAACGAACACTGGTCAAATTATTAACTTGATCGCTAACGATACATCCAAGATTGAAGAAGTATTCATATATTTAGCTGGTCTATGCGAAGGAATTCTTGAAGCCATAGTTATGTTAGGTTTGCTTTGTTGGATCATACATCCTATACCAGCTTTGTGTGGTTACGCTATAAGTCCTCTATTCATTCTCATACAAGTGTATTTCAGTCGAAAATTTAGTCAATACCGTGAGACAACAGCAATGTGTAGCGATAAACGTATCCAAGCCTTCAGTGAATTTATCTATGGATGTCATGCTGTCAAAATGTATAATTGGGAAAAACCGATAAAAGATCATATAGTTGAAATGCGCGAAAAGGAACTAGCAAGTATTCGATGGGCATCACGCTTTCGTGCATTAAATATCACTCAATTTTTCATCTCCACACAATGCCTAGCACTTACAACATTTGGCAGTGCTTTGATTTTTGGTTATCCATTGAGTACAGCTAACACTTTGCCGGCTCTGGCAGTTTTTGGTGTAATGCGCTATAATATTATGTATAAAATGCCAACGGGCATTGAGAAATTAAGTGAAGCAAGACCTGCAACAAAAAGAATAGATGCATTCTTGCGTTTGACTGTGCAACAAGAACATCAATCTTCATTATCCAAACCTTCAAGTGATGAGCAACAAAAAGAAAGTATCATCATGTCTAACGCATCGTTTTCGTGGCAGAGTGAGATACCATGTCTATCATCACTTGATTTGACTATCGAACAAAGGACACTTGTTGGTATTGTTGGACCAGTAGGTTCTGGTAAATCATCCTTACTGGCTGCTATTCTTGGTGAAATGAATCTTATCAATGGTCGATTTAATTCAAATAATACTTCATTTTCTTATGCTGCTCAATCACCATGGATATTTGCAGATACATTTCGTAACAATATTCTTTTGAATCGACTGTTTCATAAAGAACGATATAGACATGTCATTCATGCATGTTGTCTCGATGTTGATCTTTATCGATTTGGATCTCATGGTGATCTCACAGTGATTGGAGAAAATGGGGTGAATTTAAGCGGTGGACAAAAGGCACGAATAGGACTCGCTCGTGCTTTGTATGCTGATGCGGATATTTATCTTCTTGATGATCCCTTTTCTGCAGTCGATCGTGCAGTAGCCAAACAAATCTATGGACGATGTATTGGTCCACATGGACTACTGAAAAATAAAACTCGTCTATTAGTTACTCATCAACCAGAATTTCTTCATGAAGCACATCAAGTAATATTTCTTTCACATGGACATATTAATAAAGAGGGTTGTTTGGACGAATGTATTGTGAGAAAAGATGATACAAACAAAAACGAAACACCCCTGTTAGCCAGCATGCTCGATAATAATACATCGATGACTGATGTTCCATCCATCATAAGTGACGAAACGCCACTCAATGACGGTACCAACTGGTCTGTATGGTACCATTTGTTGACTGCACCTCCAGCTGGCATCTTTGGCTTATGTTTACTCATTGTTTTACTCTTGTTAGGTGAAGTCCTAAATGATAGTACAAACTATTGCCTTAGCATCTGGTTGAAACAAAAAGAAAGAGAGCAGCAACTTTCACACAATTTTGCTTATACTTATTTTACTTTGATTATAGCTACAATAATTGCAGATATAATACGTACGAACTATTATTTTACTGTTATTTTAAATGGATCAAATAGTCTACATAATAACATGTTAAGAGGACTTTTATATACATCATTACAGTTTTTTGAAAGTAATCCAAGTGGAAGAATTCTAAATCGAGTAAGTAAAGATCAACATATCATGGATGACACCTTGCTCAGAACCTTTTTGATGGGTATTGTAGTACTATTAATGGCAGCGGGTTCAATATTCATTATTTGTTTTACCAGTCCACCCATTTTTCTTTTACTTATTATCTTAATTCCAATTGTTTGGTTCTTAATTCATTTTTATCAACGATCTTTTCGTCAATTAAAACGGCTTGAAAGCATTACTCGTAGTCCTGTTTATGCATCGTTTTCAACATCTCTCAATGGTTTATCAACTATTCGAGCATTTAAAGCTGAAAATAGTTTTATTCAACTGACTGCTGACAGAATGGATGTAAATACATCGGCATACATTATTGTAGAAGCTGCATCACAATGGTTTACATTTATGCTGACCGTTGCATGTTCACTAATTTTATTGGTTACTTCAGTTTATATCATATTTTTTCAGAATCGAATAGATCCACCTGCAGGTGCACTTAGTTTGATGTCTGCAATGTTTGTATCAAATGCGTTTCAATGGAGTGTTCGGAAATTTTCCGAAATTGATATATTAATGACAAGTGGCGAACGTATCGATGAATACTCACATTTGCCACGTGAAGAAAATGAAGGTGACTACAAACGTTACGTGAAAACCTCACCAAACTGGCCAATTCATGGAACAGTTGAATTTCGAAATTATTCATTACGCTATCGTGTTAATCTACCGTATGCAATCCAAAATATCAACTTGCGCATTGAATCTGGCCAGAAGATTGGCATAATTGGTCGAACCGGTATGAATTAAGAATATGTCTGAAAATCAGAAAAAAAATCTGGAGAGGGAATAATCCGACATAGTAAATTAACGGTATTTACCATCCTATAAAATAAAGTAGTGAATCTTGTCATCAAAGGTTAGAGATCTGTTTATTTTGATAACACATCGCTCCTTCTCCGTCTCTGATAATTAATGTTCTATGTAGAAGGTGAGTAAATCTTGCTATGAGAAAGTCAGATAATTTTAACAAAAGCATTTTATTGATTCGACTATTGTTGAATAATCACTTCAATTAGCATATGGCTTAAATTCATTCCAATAGCTGAGCATTCACTGCTTGTCTACAAAACGAAAAAATGATTTTTTTCAACAAAATTTACTCAATTTTAAAGCGCGCACTTAGAGAAGAAAGGACCACAAGATTGTATTATTTCAAGTCAAAATTAAGACTTGTATCCATGGCTTCGAGAATGAAGATATTGGTGTAGCCCAATATTTCGAAGGATTCTCATCGTTGCTTCATATTAAATTATTCTTTTCTACTGATAGTTTCAATGATTCCTTTAACTTCCCCGTATATTATAGTGGATTGAATTAACTGACGTGTGATGCACATATGCTAGTGTTTTCTTGATTTTTCCTCTTTTTACTTTGTCCTTTTTTCCATCTTCTTCTGTTCTAATTTTTCCTTTATCGGATTTTTCCTGCTCCAGGTTTTTTCCAAATTTTGAGACAACATCCGTATTAATACTCAAATAACAGCTTTCTTTACTACTGTACGTACATATAGGTGCTGGAAAATCGTCACTCTTCAAAGGCATCTGTCGATTTGTTCATCAATCAAATGTTGATGGTGCAATTCTTATTGATAATGTTGATATTAGTTGCATCACACTCGGTCATCTTAGATCTCATCTGACTGTCATTCCTCAACAAGCTGTGTTGTTTAGCGGTACTCTTCGATATTATCTCGATCCATTCGATTCGTATTCTGATGAACAATGTTGGAAAGCACTCGAAGATGTTCAACTCAAACAGTTTGTTAGTAATCATTCAGCAGGTCTTCGAATGCTGATTGCTGAATCTGGTAACAATTTGAGTGTCGGTCAATGTCAATTAATCAATCTTGCGCGAGCTATTCTGAAGAAAAGTAAAATCTTATTGATCGATGAAGCAACAGCTAATGTTGATAAAAAAACAGACGACATCATTCAAGAAATTATTAATAATAAATTTCAAGATCGAACTGTTATAACAATTGCTCATCGACTGAACACAGTAGCAAACTGTGATCATATTCTTGTATTGGACAATGGTATGCTAGTGAACTATGATACGTCTGTCAACATTTTAAGCTCTTATCAATGATAATCTCAGAACTTTTGATGGTAGAACGTCTTTGATGATCTCCAAGGTGTCCCAGAAATAGCCTACCAAAAGAAAAATTAATTATCTTCTCCAATTCTCAATCGAATTGAACATTTTTTTATTTGAAAGAGGAATGTTCAATATTTATTTTTAACAAAATCTCATAAGTATTGCTCGAACGTGTTACCATTCACATCAATACAAAATTTTAGTCTTTCCACAATCAAATCAAAAACATGCTTTAATATTTCTTTTTTTTATAAACTTGATTTCTTTTTGAATTCTGTTCCTTAAATCATCAATATCTTCGATATTGCTTGTGTATGCCTTTGTCTTGATAAAACTTCATAAAAAAAGTCAAGAGGTGTGAGGTCTGGAGATCGAGGCGCCCAGGATATTGCACCACCTCTACCAATCCATCTTCCATCAATGTTTTCATGTAACCATGCACGAACGTCGTTTGAAAAATGGGATGATGCACCATCCTGTTGAAAAACAAGTTCTTTTATTCAGTCTTTTCTTTTTTAAAATTGAATTAAAGTAATTTTTTAATAACTCCAGATAATTATGCTGGTTGACTGTTTCATCTTCAAAAAGGTAAGGACCGATGATTTACGTTTTCGACCTTGCACATCATACATTGACCTTAGCAGAATTCACAGCAGCATCGACAGTAATATGTGAATTACTTGTTGACTATATACGGCAATTATGCTTGTTCACAATCTCGAAAAGATAAAAGCATGATTCATCCGAAAAGAAAATATTACCATAATTTGCTTGATCTTCAAGAATGGGTATTAAACGTTTGGACATTTCAACACGAAGATTCATATCTTCATCAAATAAATGCTGGGTACAATACATTATGTATAGTTTAAATCCAATAATATCACGCATGATTCGATGTGCTTGACTCTTAGAAATGTTTGTTTCTCGAGCAAAATTTTTTACACTGTTGACTGATTCCATGCTCAAAGCCTGTTCAACTTCGTTGATCTTATCTTCAGTTATTGTATATTTTTCTAGAATTTCAGTTACTTCTTGTCGTCATAATTCACGGATGACCATTATTGAAGATTCGAACTTTGCCATCAAGACGACGACTTGGAATTTTGTTTCTAAAGAAAATCGCATTATCGAGACCTGAAACTATCAACGACCTAGGCAAAACTCGTCGTTAGAATTATCGATACCATAACTGCTGCTAGTTCTTATACATAACGATAAACTCCTCGATAGTGGCCCTTGATAATATACATGATTTGCCTGGTGCTGGTCCCTATAGATATCCATCATCTCCTCAATAGTGATCCTTGAGAATATATACGGTTTTCTTGCTGCTACTCCTTATAGATTTTAATCATCTACTCACTAGTGCTCCTCAGTAATATAGATATGATGCTTTTTTGAAATTCCAGAAAATTCATTTAAATTTCTGGACACCCCTTTTGTCTCCTGTTTATCATGATACAGAAGGTATAGGCGATATAAGGAGGTATAGAAGATATTGGAGATTTTGTTTAATTGGTACAGCTGATCATTCAATAGTGTTTGAATTTAAATATCTATTCATAAGATTTCCTACTGCCACTTGCCAAAACTTGCTAAAAAAATCAATTCCTATACCTTCTATATCCTCTCACACCTTCTATATCTCCTATACCTCCTTATAACATACAATACCTCACTATTCCTCGTATGTCTCCTCATACCTTCTATATCTACAATACCTTCGATACCTCCTATACCTTATGTACCCTCTATACCTCTCCTATATCCCCTATACCTCGTAAATACGTCCTATATCCCCTATACCGCGTAAATACCTCCTATACATCCTGTAGCTCCTCATACCTCCTATATCTTCAATACCTCTTTATGCCCCGTATATACCTTATATCTCCTATACCTCCTACATCTTCATAAATAGGAAACAAAATGGGTATCCAGAGATTCGAATGAATTTCCTGGAAACCGAAGTAAAGCATCTAATCATAATATAGATGAGTTCCATACTGACGGTCATTATAGATATTGATCATCCACTCAATGATGGTCCGTGTAGATATCGATCATATATGCAATAGTGTTTCTCAATCATATACATGATTTTCCTAGTGGTGGTTCCTATAGACATCGCTGATCAACGCAATGTTGGTCGTCAATGGTACAGGTGGCTTACATATTGCTGGTTCTGATAGGTGTTACTCATCTACTCCATGGTTATCCTCATTAATTTAGAGAACCTCACTGCTGATGCTCTTTATAGGTATGCATCAACTTCTCAATGCTGGTGCTCAATGTTATGAATGATAGTATACGAGTGAAAATAGCATGTTAAGGAATAAATGCATGTGTTTTGGAAAAGTGTAGCATATAAAGCGTTGGTTGGATGAAGGCTAAGTTTATCTGTGTGGGTGGATGTTGGTGTGGATGAAGCAAAGAGTCAGAACCACGTTCACATCCACACCCACAGCCGTCCACATCGACAGCTACGCCCACGTCCAAAATGTGCTTTTCTTATTTCGTTGAGTACTAAACATTATCAATTTATCTCTGAGGACTCGACTGACCATTGTCTGAATTTGAGAAATACACTTCACATTATCTGTATATTTAGCGGAATTTGCCATCCTCTGATCTTTTTCTTTGACTTATGCATTATGTATTTGTAGAGTCACTTCTTCAATATTTCTTTCTTATGCCTCTAATTTTCGATAATAAGCTTGATTGCATTTTGTTGCGCCGTTGTTTTGATGAGTGTTCTCAAGTATTACAGAGAACACTGCAACTTTGGTAGCCAAACGTGTGAATAAGAAATTTTCGATAGTATACATTATCGCATATGCTATCAAACGAAGCACAACGACCCTGTCATAGCTTAATGGAACTTGAACTGTCTCTACGCGAGAACTGATAAAACTTAAGCTGTCTTGCGAAACTATCATTGATGTAGTGCAATGAAAGGGAGCGTCTAGCTAACTAACGAAACTATGAGTGGCTTGATACAAAATCCAAACGTTCCGTATTTGTTACACGAAGCTTCCGATAATTTTGTAAATGTTATATAATGGTTTCGTATATATTGTACGAAACCAATAATGGTTCCGTATATAGAATACGAAATCACTTTTAGTTTCGCAAGTGGTAAAACGGCTCCGTAGAAATTGTACGGAACTACTGATGGTTTCATAAGCGATATTCTGATTTCGTGCAATGTGTAAGAAACTATTGATAGCTCCGTAGAACATCTAAAGATTCCGTATATCTGCGACGAAGCCATCAATAGTTTCGTGAATAATGCAATGGTTCGGCATATCTTTTACGGAACCATGCTTAGCTTCGGAAGCGTTGCAAAGTTTCCGCACACATTTTACGAAACCATTGATAGTTTCGAAACGCATATAATGGTTTCGTATACCTTATACGAAGCCATCAAGAGTTTTGCCCTTTATCTGAAAGTTTAGTATACATGTCACGAAACCATTGGCAGTTTCGTAGAGTCTTTAAAGGTTTGGTATTAGTTCTACGAAGCCATTCATAGTTGCGTAAGTGCTCTAATGGTTCCGGACATGTCCTACGAAACTAGCCATGGTTTCCGAAAAGATACACCGAACCATTACGTCCTTGACGAAACTATGAACAGTTTCGTACAATGTATACTGAACCTTTTGATGTTTTACGAAACTTTCAATAGATTCACATACGATGTACTGAACCTTTAGTTGTTCCACGAAACTGTCAGTGGTTTCGTAAAACAGCAAAAGGTTCAGCATGAATTGTACGAAACTGTTCATAGTTCCGTAGATGATGTGATGGTTCGGTATATCTTTTCCGAGACCATGGTTAGTTTCGTAGAACATGTTCGGAACTATCAGGGCACTTACGAAACTATGAATGACTTCGTAGAACCTATACGAAACCTTTGAATGCTGTACGGAACTGTCAAAGGTTTTGTACAAAAGATGCGAAACTACCAAAAGTTCAGTACATGATACCCGGAACTTCTAGAAAGTTTCGTAGTAAAACTTCGAAATCCTCTTCGATTTTCGGAACTTGAAAAGGTTCTGTATGAAAATTACGAAACCATTTCCATACCACGGAACCGGGGTTAGTGGAAAATGTCGAAAGGGAAAATGTCGAAAGGGGAAAATGTCGAAAAAAATTGAAAGAGGAAAATGTCGAAAGGAAAAGATGGAAGAGGAAAACAGCGAAGAGAAAATTTCGAAAGAGGAAAATGTCGAAAAAAATAGAAATTATTATCGTATTCTTTCGGCGTATATTATGTGCTATC